AGGACAATGATCAGAAAGTGATTTATCACGTAATGAAAGCGTGTCCAAGACTTGAGACTAACGCATGCGAATAATTCTCATCCGGCTTATGACGTACAAAGCTTGAAACGGCCTGTTCTAGTCTCACATATCACAACACCAGGTGATCCGAGCTGCTTCCAGGAGCTGTTTTTATTCGACCGCCTTATTTCTCACCCAGTCAAAGAAATCTAGTAACATGCTCAGAATTTCCATTTTGATGGCTCAGAACCAAACGACAGTGGTGGATGGTACAAATACATGGACACTTTATCACGCTGACACAATGTGAGACCATGAGAAGGGATTAGAGTGGCCTAACGAGGTGTTGGACGCGTTCGAGTTCGAGCTGGGACAAGTGCGTGCCATAAACATATACAGTTTAGCTATTGATCCGGAAATTTCCGGTCACCGAAGATAATACCCAAAAGGGGGGAGTTGTGATCTCAGCGGAGTCGATTCAGTGCAGAGGTATTGCTGATCATTCTTAAAAAGGACCAAACGGCTGATTCAAAAGAAATTGTGAGCGGTGAGCAATACATTGATTATGATTGTTGAAAGAGACAGAGAGAGAACACATCCGATCTCCCAAATCGTTTGATGAAACGGTCGAGAACCGTGACCGATCGAGAATCGTAGTTTTTAATTGAATGAATCAGTGTACTTGGTTTTCAACCGTGGACGAAACAGTGAAGGTTGGATTTTCCTCGTCGCCAGGGGAATTCGGATTATCACACTAACCACGGAACCGAGTACTGGTGACCAAATTGCATCGAATACAATACGGCATCTTAGTGAGGCTGATCAGGATACAGGAGGAGGAATAAAAACATTGAAAAACAGGTGGGGTGGACAGGAAAAAAATAATTGGACAACTTACACAAAACTGAGAACAATGGACAGCCAAAATTTCGCCTTCCAAAAGACTCAACTGGATCAGATTGGCTGTGAAAAGCAAAAAAGATGGTAAATGGCTGAGAACCATATGAATCACGACAA